TATTTTGGCACCCTTGTTGAAAATTGATTGACCATAAATATGTGGGTTTATTTTAGGACTCCTAAATTGTACTCCATTGAGAAAATATCTGTCCTTATGCCAGTACCACACTGTCCTTATTGCTGTAACATTGTGGAATAAATTTTAAACTTGGGAAATAAAAATCCTTGAACTTTTCTTTTTTTGATGAATATTCTGGGTTCCTTGAATTTCCATATGAATTTTAGGATCAATTTGTTAATTTCTGCAAAAAGACAACTGGGATTTTGATAGGAATTGCATTGAACTCCACCTTAGTTTGGAGAGTATTGTCATTTTTTAAAAAATATTTTTTAGTTGCCAATGGATCTTCATTTTATTTATTTATACATGGTGCTGAGAATCGAACCCAGTGCCTCACATGTGCTAGGCAAGCGCTCTACCACTGAGCCACAACCCCAGCCCTGTCATCTTAATAATAAATGTTTCTGAACCATGAACATAGGGTGCTTTTACATTTGTTTCAATTTTTCTTATATTTTAATTATTTCTGTTTTTTTATTTTTGATGCCATCACAAGTGTATCATAATTATTAATTTTGTTCTTGAGTTCACTACAAGTATATAGAAATACAATTGATTTTTGTTTGTTGATCTTATATCCTGCAGTGTTGCTGAATTCATTGATTTGTTTTTTGGTGGATTTCTTTGGATTTTCTGTGTACAAGATTATGTAGTCTATGAATAGAAATACTTTTACTTCTTTTAAATCTAGATGCTTTTTATTTCTTTTTCTTGCTTTGTTACCCTCAGACAGTGTTAAATAGAAGTGTTGAAAGAGGATATCCTTGTCTTGTTCCTTATTTTAGAGGGAAGCATCAGTATTTCACTCCTTCAAGTATGCTGTTATCTCTGGGTTTTTATAGGTGTTCTTTGAGGATCTGCCTTTTATTTCCAGAATGTTGAGAGTTGTGTGTGTGGTGTTTTTTTTTTTTTTTTTTTTTTAAGGGGTATTGGATTTTGTCAGTACCTTTTCTCTATCTGTTGACAATCATGTGGTTTTTGTTTTATTTTATTGACAGGTATATTGTAATAATTATCATATGTTAAACCAATCTTGCAATTATAAGATAAATCTCCCTTGGTTATAGTATACAATGGTTAACCTTTTAATATGCTTGCTAGTGTATTTTTGAAAAATTTTGCATCTGTGTTTATGAGAGATTGATAAATTTTTTTTCATGACAGATTTATAAATTTGGGCTCATATAATAAGTAGGAAAGCTTCCCTTCCTCTTCTGAGTCTTGAAAGAATTGGTGAATAATTGATATTAATTTTTAAAATATTTGATATAATTCAACAGTGAAGCCATCTAGGCCTGTCTTTTTTTGAGGGGAGAGGGTAGGAGTTATTTTTTTAATTGGTTCTCAAAACATTACAATGATCTTCACATATCATATATCATACATTTAATTCAAATGGGGTATGAATTCTTATTTTTACCACGTGTACAGGTTGCAGGATTACATTGATTACACATCCACGTTTATACATACTGCCATACTAGTGTCTGTTGTATTCTGCTGCCTTTCCTATCCCCTTCCTATCCTCCCCTCCCCTCCCCTCCCATCATCTCTCTCTACCCCATCTACTGTAACTCATTTGGGTAGGAGTTTTTAAATTGTGCATTTAATCTCATTATGAATTTATTTGGATTTTCTATTCTGTGTCAGTTTTGCTGGTTTGTGTCTGTATAGGAATTTCTTTTTTTTTTAATCTAAGTTATCAAATTTGTTGGCATGTTCATAGTATTCCTTTATAACCTTTTTAAAATTTATGTAGAGTTGATAATAATATTCCTCCTTTCATTCCTGAGTTTAGTAAAATGAGTTCTTTTTTTTTCTTGTTCAATCTAACTAAATATTTGTCAATTTTGTTGATATTTTTAAAGGACCAACTTTTGGCTTTGTTTTTTTTCCGCTATTTCAACATCTAATCTTTGTTAATCTGTTTTATTTTATTTTAATTAAAAATGTTTTTTGAAGTAATGGAGAATGAACTCAGCGCCTTGTGCATGCTAGGCTAGTGCTCTACTACTGAGCTACATTCTCAGCATCCTTTCCACCTTTTTTTTTTTTTTTTTTTTTTTTTGGTACCAGGGATTGAACCCTGGGACACTTAATCACTGAGCCATGTTACTACATTTCTAGTCCTTTTTTAATTTTTTATTTTGAGACAGAATCTCACTAAGTTGCTGAGGCTAGGCTTGAGTTTGTTGTCTTCCTGCCTCAGCTTTGCAAGTTGCTGGGATTATAGGTCTGCACCACTGCATTTAAAAAAAATTTAGAGACAGTGTCTCCCTAAATTGTGGAGGCTGACCTGAAATTTGTATTCCTCCTGCCTCAGTCTCCTAAGTAGCTGGAATTACAGCCTCCTGAGTAGCTGGTAGCTGCATCACCACGCTCAGCTTTACAACAGTTTTTAAATCACGTTGTCACCATAATATATTTCTTCCCTGTCTCTCTCATTTCAAGTGAGACAGACACAGGAGGAGGCTCTGAAGAATTATAATCAGACATACAAAGCTCTTTGGCTTATGCATACATTTCCCCCTGTGGTCCAAGGTAGAACAAAGTTAACAATTTAATATATTTGGATTTTATTTTATGCATCATATCTGAGAGTTGTCTAGCAGTTTGAGTGTTAATCCTTAGTCTGATTTGTTACTTTCATCCTGGAATGTGAATTGCAGTAAGTAGAATTTCTTTTTTCATGTGATAAATGTTGTTAAGCCCCTCCTATGTGGCAGGCAGTGTGCCAAACCTAGCACCTTTCATGTAGACTGAATTTGAATACTGGTTTATATAATAGAAGTGTAGGAAGGTAATGACTTTGCTGATTATTTCTTTCTTGCTAAACATAGCTCATAAGTTCATAGTCTTGTTATTTTAAGAAAACAATTATTTAATGCAAGTTAGTGTGTAGGGTGACAGAAGCTAAGAAATATAATGCTTGAACTCTGCCTTTTAGAACTCTCAATCTCTTTGTTGTGATAGACAAGCCATCCCTTAGAAAAAGACAGGGAATGATGGGACAGTGTTATGGACCACGTTCCAGAAGGCTTTTTGGTACAGTAGTCCCTCCTTTTCCAGGGTTTTACTTTCTGAAGTTTCACTTACCCATGGTCTATACACTCTGTAAATATTTAATGGAACATTCCAGAAATAAACAATTCATATGTTTTAAATTGCATGCCATTCTAAGTAGCAGGGTGAAACCTCATACCATTCCACTCTGATGTGAATCACCGCATTGTTCAGTGTATCCACGATGTATGTGCTACCTGCTCATTAATCACTTAATAGCCATGTTTGTTATCAGATCCACTATTGGGGGGCAGTATTACAGTGCTTACGTTCAAGTAACCCTTGCTTTACTTAATAATGGCTCCATAGCACAACAAGAGCATTAATGTTGGCAACTCAGATATGCCAAAGGAAAGCTCTAACGTGCTTCCATTAAGTATAGAGGTGAAAATTCTTGTTTGTTTTGTGATGCCAGGGATGAAACCTAAGACCTTGCACATGCCAGGCAAGTGCTCTGCCACTGAGCTACACTCCTGTCTGCAAATTCTTGATTTTGTCATATGCATGTATGTAGGAAAAAAACATGGTATAGGGGTGGGGCTATGGCTCAGCACCACATAAATAAATAAAACAAAGGTATTGTGTCTATCTACAACTAAAACAATATAAAAAAAAAAACCTGTGGTATGTATAGAACCAAGTACTGTCCTCTGTTTCGTGAGTCCACTGGTGTCTTAGAACATGCCCCCCATGCAGAAGGGGGGGACTATTGTATTTTAGCACCTGGGAGGACACTGAAGTCTGGGATTTGTCTAGCAAGCTCCGTGTCAGCTAGCAGAATGTTTTCAGCTGCTTCTATTATTCTGCGACAATAATTCGTGTGCTGCACAATAGCCATGATATAATTTTAGCAAACTTGGGAGGTTCCATAGTTGTCGGATTATGGTTATTTACCCACAGTTCCATTTCGCCTCCCTTCCTCAGTGGCGTGTGGTGTTTGTCTTTGGAGACTGAAGTTAGTGCCTGTACAACAACTAGCATCTCAAATCAAGATAAAGCACATTCCCTAAGAAGTGTTATGGTGTTCCGAAAGGTTTTACATTCCGAAAGTCCCATGCAGTTCATTTTGTCCTTGGAAGAACTTTCAGAGCCCCGTTTTGCAGGCAGTGCTCAGTCGGAGACTCATGCCAGAGAAGCTGCTGCTTGGCTCTGGCGACCCGAAGCATTTCTGAAAGGCGGGCTTCAACAGCTGAGCAGGAATGAAGAGGTCGAGGCCAAATGTGTATGTCTGTCACAGAGAAGAAACCTTCCAGGGGATGCAGCACACAAGTGTGCGGGTCCATGGCAGGTCATACTCCTTGCCAGGGGCTGCTGGATATTGTGTGTGACTTCAGGGCACTTAGAACTCAGTATGCAATCATGAGAGAGGTGTTTTGGTGCCAGTCCAGCTACACAATGTAATTTTATTCTGACCCGAATTATCTTTTGTACTTTCAGTTTTGATTAACGTCCTGCACTTCCTGTTCTAGACCTGAATGCTGATATGTGCTTGAGAAATCCCCCATGTTCTGTGTCACAGGGTGCTTGCATTTCATCAAAGTCCCTAGCCTTTTTTAGGCTTAACTGGAGTGCTATTTAGAGCTTAGGTTGGGTTTGGTGGTCCGAGGCCTAATCATTCTTATTTATTAGGCACTTAACTTTATAGAGAAAGGAACTCATTGCTTAAAACATTTTTTAATTAAAAAAGGAACTTGAACTATTATCTTTATAGTCCTCAAATTCATATTTCAACTGTGCTCACATGCAAACATACCTTTTTATATATTTCTGTAATTAATGTATAAATATTGTTTTCTGCTTTTTATACTTAATATATCTCTCATTTTCATATTCTTATGCATCCAATTGTATAAATACCAGTGTTTACTTCACAGAATGTGGAGGCTCTGGATCCACGAGGTCGAACATTATTACACCTTGCAGTTTCTTTGGGCCATTTGGAATCTGCTCGAGTCTTGCTCCGGCATAAAGCAGATGTGACCAAAGAAAATGGCCAAGGATGGACAGGCAAGTATACTTGTAAAATAATTTAAAGTCACTCATTTCAGTTTCTCTTTCTGAAAAAAAAACTAGTTTCAATCATGATTTTCCTTTGAGTCAGCTGTATCCTTCTTGGGAGGGATGGGGGATGGGAGCCAGAGATGCTGGCTGGCTAGTCTGTTGCATAGAGTCACCCTTAGTAGAGGTGACTCGACTCCTCTTTCTGAGACAGCCTTCATGCAAACCTTGCCCACCAAGTTGAGTGTGGAGGCCAGTTTTGCCCTATGAGTATGGCGGGGACTCCACTGAGTCCAGCAGGGTAGGGAAAAAGAAAAAAAAGCAATTATTGGTAGAAATAGGCTCTTTTGTTAAAATCCTGTCATTTCAGTGTTTGCAAGCTCTCTTATTATCAGTCAGAGTAATTTTCTGTTGACTAAGCAAAAATACTCAAAAGTGCAAGTCCTCCTGCTAGTTCTACATGTAACCACAGGGAAAGCTAGCTCTCAGGATACACTGTTAGGACTTCAGAACCAGTGGCAAGAGCGCAGGGAGTGGAGAGGAGGAGAGGTTTGACCAGCAGGCTTAGTATGCCCTGTCTGCTTCTCTTTAGTGATGAGCTAGCCATCAGAAGTCATGGTCATACCTCTGTTGGACTGCAGCCTCATTCTTTCTTTGAAGCAATATTGGTCTTTGATCCATATAGATAAATGGGCTTTGGGATTTGTCAGAAAGTATGAGGATACTCAGTGATTAAGTTTCACTCTTTTGTTTCCCAGTTTTACATGAGGCGGTGAGCACTGGTGACCCTGAGATGGTGTATACAGTTCTTCAGCATCGAGACTACCACAACACGTCCATGGCCCTTGAGGGAGTTCCTGAACTGCTACATAAAATTCTCGAGGTATCCATAAAACCAGCCATGCCGTACATGGTTTAGCACCACGCTGGTGCAGTCGTGGGACACAGTTTGACATTGTTATGTACCTTCCTGAAGAGTTTCATGGATAGCTAATATGATATTTTGATTGCCTGTCCACCTTGTGGAAGTGTGGGGGCTTCTAGGTCACTGGGATTATCTTTTTAAGTGCTATTTTGAAATTATAACTTAGGAAAATGGACATCAAATACAGTCAATTTGTCTAGGTGCCTGTTTTCTTAAAAGCAGCAGCGCCCTGTGCAGAGCAGAATGAACGTTGGTTACTGTGTAGGCATTTTCAGGCTAGCTAAGGCCTGGAGGTCTATGTGCCACTTCTCCTTGCCACTCTTTTGTCATTTCTAGACATTAGTATTTTGCAACTTCTAATCTATTGCCTCAATTTATTTACAGTTCCTGGCTTTGGGGAAGTTTATCTGGCTTATGAGTCAAATTTATGAGCTCTCTGACTCTCATGCCTTTCTTAAAAAATATTCCTGCTAGGCTCCTGGGTTGTTTTGGATGATGGTTGCCATTCTTCAGATAATACTTGTTATTTGAAAGAACCATCTTATCAGTCAACCATGTGCTGTATTCCCAGGGTAGTAGGAAACAAGAAAGTAGCAGTGGTTCAGTTTTCAACATTCTTCATTCTCAAATTAAGCACAGAGTTGAGTTCTCTCAAATATCTCCTAAGATGTTTGCTAGTTAAATCAGCTTTACAACTTTGGGTAAAGCACATTTCTTGAAAAAAGGAAAAACTTTGTTATAAGATAATCGTTGAACCCAAGGGTGCTTAACCATTGAACCATATCTCCAGCCCTATTTTAATATTTTATTAGACACAGGGTCTTGCTGAGTTGCTTAGGGCCTCGTTAAGTTGCTGAGGCTGGGTTTGAACTTGAGATTCTTCTGCCTCAGCCTCCCAAGCTGCTGGGATTACAGGAATGTGTCACCACACCTGGCTCCTATTTGAGCACTCTTTAAATTTTTTTTCATTGGTATGAACCTAAGCCATGACCAATATATTCATTTTCATGTACAACAAAGAAACTTCCCATAAAGTATGAAGTGGTTGTATGCATTGTTTTAAAAATAGATGTATTGGGCTGGGGTTGTGGCTCAGCGGTAGAGTGCTCGCCTAAAACATGTGTGAGGCCCTGGGTTTGATCCTCAGCACCACATATAAATAAATAAAATAAACATATTGTGTCCAACTATAACTAAAAAATAAATATTAAAAAAAATATATATTTAGGAGTGTGCAAGGGTCACATGAATTTATTTTATCTAACTGTAGGAGGAACAACATCATTTGCTGATTTGACAAGGGCAGAAAATGATTAATTATTTAATGTGGAATCTTGCATTTAAAAAATTCACTGTAAAGGATTTACTTTTTTCACCTGTATTGATTCACAGCAGTGGACCGCATGTATTTATATTCTCTGCTTGAGGTTATAGACACTAACTACAGGTGCCTCCTATTGTTAGTGGCACCAGAGGCTGTTGTTGACCTGTGTTTTAACAGTGTCTCCTTAATAACTTGTGCCAGCCTTGCTTATCCACTCTTGAAGGTTGTCCGTGCCTCTCACCGAATCCTGGCTGGTTTTATGATTCCAGGGTAGATTCTCAGCTTTCCTGCCCTGTGTGTCTGTAAAAACCACAGCAAAACCTGGACTTGTGAGGGCACAAGTAAACAAATAACATACCTGGAATTGTAGTATTTCTCTTCTTGAGTGATAACTGTTGGATTTCCTAAGAAAAGAACTCTAAACAGGCTGCTCTGCTGGTATAGAACTTCAGAAAGCCTAATTCTAAAAATTTAAGAGAAAATTAGGGCAAAATCTTCAGTTAAGTGGAGGGAAAAATCTACTTCCTATGGAAGTGATGTCTTGCAGTACCTGAGCCCATCTTTCTATAATTGTTGGGAGACTGACTGAACCCCCAAATCAGATTTGACTTGTATTCCCTTCCAACTTCATTGCTGTTAACATTCTTAACTGTATGGATACATTTTATATCAAGATAAAAAGTAATGGCTTGAATATAATATTTCAGTGGATTTGTACTTTGTTTCTTCTTATTTTCTCCATTTTTCCTTAATTTTTTAAAAAGCCATCTTAATCCTTGCTGTGCTCGTGTTTGGTTTATAGTGCCAAAGGTCATCTATTTTAACCCTTTGTTTGTCCTCAGGCTCCGGATTTCTATGTGCAGATGAAATGGGAATTCACCAGCTGGGGTGAGTGACTATGGGCTTATAATTTATTTTTGTTTCCATATTTACAGTACCTGTATTTAGGTTTATTTTTCCTTTGTAAAAGTTATGTATTTTTTAAAAAATCAGATACAGGAAATGCATACAGAAAAATGCACCTCTAGCCCCCCTTTTGTTTTCCTTCCAGTCTTTATCCGCAAGCATTAGACTTTTGCCCCCAAACATGTACACAGATAGTATATGGACATTTGCTTCTCCTTTCATTTATCTATGTTATTAGTTATTTTTCTTTTCTTTTTTTTTAAAGAGATAGGGTCTCTCTGTCATGCCCAGGCTGGCCTTGAATTCCTAGGCTTAAGCAATGCTCCTACCTCAGCCTCCCTGGTAGTTGGGATGACAGGCATGTTCAACCAAGCCAAGTTATCTTATTTGTTTTTATTTAAGTTTTTAATATTTATTTAGTTTGTGGCATCTAGCACTTCATTAGTGGAGGAAATCACTTTAGTCTAGGCAGAGAGGAAGAGGAGATGGACAGGACTAGTACCCATGTAAGGGGATTTTCCTGGAAATCAAGTGGTTCTCTATGCAAGTTAAGTGGAGAGGAAATCTACTTCTTATGGAAGTGATGTTATGGATGAGAGCCTCAGAAAGCAGCAGGCAGCCAGGTGTGGTGGTGCAGGCCTCTAATCCCAGCAGCTCAGGGGGCTGAGGCAGGAGGATCATGAGTTCAAAGCCAGCCTCAGCAAAAGTGGGGTGCTAAGCAACTCAGTGAGACCTGTCTCAAAATAAAAAAGGGCTGGGGATGTGGCTCAGTGGCTGAGTACCTCTGAGTTTAATCCCTAGTAACCCTCCCTACCCCGCCTCCCTGCCAAAAAAAAAAAAAAAGAAAGCAGCAGGCATATGCGAAGTCAGAATAGGAGGGTTGCCCTAGGCATGGTTGGGCCACTGAGACAGCACAGCTTTGATGTCAGGCTGGATGTTGATGATTCAAGTTCTGCAGCTATACCTCTATACTGGCACAGTGGCAGGACCCACCAGGAACTACTCAAAGTTCCAGCCAATGTCATTGTGGCACACCAGAGACCACATGATGAACCAGGGTTGGTCCTGAGGGCAGTGGAGTCATGGCTCCGCACTCGCAGGATCTCCCACAGGAGTGTGGAGAGTGGGTGCAATTGGTGTCATTCACCTCACATTTCTCCATAAAGGTGAAATTGGGCTAGAACCCACCACCAGGTTGGACGTATTTGAGGGAATTCAGAATCTCTTTGTAGTTGCTTCTCTGATGCCCAAACTGCTTGCAGGGGAAGCCAAGCAAGACTGGGCCAGGATCCAATGTGCCCTTGCAGCTCATTCTTCTGGGTGTAGTCCCAGATCACAGTGCCTCAGAGGGTGCCCTGGGAGCATGGGCACCCAGGTTCCCTGCTGGCCAGCAAGCAGACTGAGAAAGCATCAGTGGGGATAGGCTGCTGCTGTCCCCAGCTGAGCAACATATGTGGCTTGGGTATTAGGGAATTGAGGGGAGACATCAACCAGCGCAGCCATCTTATTAGTTTTTAACATGTCACTGTAAAATGCTAAAATTTTAGTAATTTTGGATAATTTACTTGCATAATTTACTTACTCATTTCTATATATGGTTCAGCTTGATTCTTTCAAACTTACTCTAGGGAAGAAGATGAGGCAAATATTGGAATGGTGTGTGTTTCACCAAATGGATATATTTCTCCAGAGTATTATATAAGGCAATTGGGTATATGTTTTCATAGGTGTTCTACTTTTACTTCTTGTCTGTCCATTAACAGTAACTCCAAACTCCCAGGATTTCATCTATTTTCATTTCCAGACTTTTTTTTTTTTTCTTTGCAGGCAAAAAGTTCTATTTGTAATGAAACAAGTGAGGTAAAAAGTATATAAAGGAAGAGGATGGGATTGTTCTGAGAAACTAAGGGATTCTTTTCTCATACAGATAGCCACTCTGATTTCAGGTTTTGTTGAAGAGTGATACGTTTTAGACATTTGATATTTTGAATGGTGGATATGTCAATATGGAAGGCCGCGTCCATATGGCAAGAGTAGGACGTGTGTGAGAAAGGCCAGATGGACCTACTCAATAGCCCTGGTGGGGGTCATAAGTGGAGTTCACTTTGGAATTGAGAATACTCTTGGGATATTCATTTAGAGTTTTCTCAACAATGGAACAGAAGGTCCATTATTTTATTTATTTTTAATTTAATTTTTTTTCCTTTTTTTTTTGGTGTTGGGATTGAACTGAGGGCCTTGTGCATGCTAAGCACACACTCTACCATTGAGCTGCACCCCCACACCTCCATATTTTGTTTATTTGGCACTGGAGATTTAACCCAGGGGTGCTTTACCATGGAGCTACATCCCCACCCCCACCCCCAGCCCCCCTTTTTTAAAATTTTGAGACAGGGTCTCACGAAGTTGCTGAGGGCCTTACTAAATTGCTAAGACTGACCTTGAACTTGTGATCCTCCTACCTCAGTCTCCAAGGCACTGGGATTACAGATGTGCATTACAGTGCCTGGCCAATTTTAATTTACTGTTATTTATTTATTTATTGAACCCAGGAGCAGTTAACCACTGAGTCACATCCCCAGCCTTTTTATTTTTTATTTTATTTTGAAATAGGGTCTTACTAAATTGCTTAGGGCCTTGCTAAGTTGTTGAGACTGGCTTTGAATTTGTGATTCTCCTGCCTCAGCCTCCTGAGTTTCTGGGATTACAGCCCATTTTTATTTTTAAAGGTGACTTCCTATATGATAAGTGGGATACAGGGGCAAGAAATCTAGTTCTATTTAGCAGTCACAATCTTGCCACTCGTCTCCTTTTATTAAAGTCATAATCCTGAATTCTTGGCCTGGGTGTTCTGCTTGGCCTTTAGGTTTTCTCAGTAGTACACTTCTCTCCTCCAGTGCCCTTGGTTTCCAGAATATGCCCTAATGATGTCTGTCGAATTTGGAAAAGTGGTGCCAAACTGCGTGTTGATATCACATTGCTGGGATTTGAAAACATGAGCTGGATAAGAGGGAGGCGTAGTTTTATATTTAAGGGAGAAGGTAAGTGATTCCATTGTAATAATCACTGCTTGAGCTAAAATTACAGTGATTTCTCACCATCAAAATGTGTTCATATTCTTGTGCCTAGTCTGTCTGATCCTATCTGGGACCTTTGTTTTTGGTTATTCTTATTAAGTATTCAGCTCTCCATCCCTCTTAGTTCTTTTCTGGCTAGTTCTCTTGCACATGTGATTTGTCATGTACCAGTTAACCCTTCTGACCTGTGGGACAGCTCAAGGCTTTGAGTGCAAGTCTCTTGTCTTGAGTGTCTTTATATTGAGGCCCGATCCTTCTAATGGAGGATCACCCAATGGGATACACAAATAGTTTATACTAATTCCGTAATAATGTATTTTATAAAGATCATAGACAACTAATGTGTTCCTAATAAAGAAAGCAAGTTATTTAAAAAATCTATGTCTTTGGGGAAGATGGCCTGGAGACACCTAGGAGTTGGGGAAAGCTGGCCAGATAATCCCAGTGCCAGTAAGTAATTGATGATCATTACTCTTTAGGTTTCATCAGATAGCATCTGGGAGGAAAAAGTGATTGATGATACATTTTTTTTTTTTTTAACGAGAGAGAGAGAGAGAGAGAGAGAGATAATTTTTTAATATTCATTTTTTAGTTATTGGCGGACACAACATCTTTATTTGTATGTGGTGCTGAGGATCAAACCCAGGCCGCATGCATACCAGGCAAGCCGCTACTGCTTGAGCCACATCCCCAGCCCCGATGATACATTTTTAAAAAATATTTATTTACTTTTTTAGTTTTCAATGGACACAATATCTTTATTTTACATTTACGAGGTGCTGAGGATCGAACTCAGTGCCTCAAGCATGCCACATGAGCACTCTACCACTAAGCCACAACCTCAGCCCTGATAATACGTTTTTAAAAAAAACTTTTTAGTTGTAGATGGACACAATATCTTTATTTATTTTTATGTGGTGCTTGCAGGCAGGGCAAGTGTGCTACCACCGAGCCTCTGAGCCCCAGCCCCAGCCCCAGCCCCAATCATACATGTAATACACGGCCATCCTTTTTTGTGCCTCTTCCTTGCATTGCCCGTAGTTATGTCTTTGTTTCTATTAACAGACAATTGGGCAGAGTTGATGGAAGTCAACCACGATGACAAAGTGGTCACCTCCGAACATTTTGATCTTTCCCAAGAAATGGAGCGCCTCACTCTGGACTTGATGAAGCCTAAAAGCAGGGAAGTTGAGAGGCGGCTCACAAGCCCAGTCATTAACACCAGCCTCGATACTAAAAACATTGCTTTTGAAAGGTATGAATTTAGACTCCAAATTTTAATGTCTTTCCTGTGCTGCCATCTTTAGTGACATGTATGTGTTAACTGGAAATTATGGACAATATAGGATTTTTTTCTATTATGATGTAATAACACTAGTGGGTTTTAAGATTGATTGCTAACCAAATATAAACGGTAGTGGATATATCCTACCTTGCCTGTCATTTTTATAGTTCAGCATTGGTTAAGTCTTGGGAAAGTGTCTTCATGTTCTATTATGGGCCCTGCCTAGTAGATTTTAGTTGGATCTTATTTTATTTTTTGGTATTTTTGGATCCACAACACTCTTTAATTAAAGTGTGGAGTTCTGAGTTTCAGGAAGTTGAATTGACCCAGTATTGAATTTTGTTGTACTGATTTTAGCCAGTCAGATTTACACATACCATATAGTTAAGTATGGTTCTTTTTTCTGCATGTAAGACCTGATAGTTTGGAGCAAGAGTCTGGAGGGGATTCAATTCTCTTCCAGATTCTATGGAAAAAATTCTCTAGATAGGTCTGTGTCTTCATTAATCCAGATGAGAGCACCATTCCTGTTTATCTAGGTCTGGGTCCCACAGAGGGAATGGAGAGCATTTAAGTGTAGGGGAGGTAGAATCCGTCACTGTGTCTTTACTGTGGAACACACTGAGCTGAGGGAGCCCACAAGAGCCTTTAGTGTTTGCCTAGGATGTCACATCCAGCTCTCTGCAAAACAAAGTAGCTTAACCTGAGCTAAAATGGACACTATTATCCTGGATTTAGATGTTATATTCTCTTCATAAGTATGTTCACTGTCCTCTTAAAATTTTTCTTTTCTTCATTTCCAATTAAAAAAATGGTTAATAAAACTAAGAGATTTCTATTTAGTCAAATAATTTCTAATTTCGATTGGGCTGTGGAATTAGGGTATCAATAGCAGAAAGAAAAACCAGAATGTGCAGCCTGTGTGTTGTCCAGCAACTCTTCTGTGTTGGTAGGAGCCCATAGTTGGTAGGACTATCCCCTGAGGCAGGGAAGTCCCCTCATCAGCCTCCTGGTACCAGTCTCACCATTGATAGCTGTTGTTGTCCTGGGACAGTAGGGTTTAGGGACTGGTGATAACTTTACTTGGAAGAGTGTTGGAAAGGTATCTCTAGGCTTCAGCATGTGCCTCTGCAGACAGGAGGGTACCTTCAGTTCAGGGGTGCTCGTGACCCCAGAGTGTAGAGGAGGCTGCCTTCATCACCACAGCCCTGAGAAGAGAATGGGAGAGACTGCGTGCTTCAGCAGGTATAAATCACTGTGGCTTTGGGCAAGTAGCCTTATCTCTGCTTTTCTGTTTCCTTAGCCAAAAGAAGAAAATGAATGAGTCTTGAGGTGAAGTCTGTAAAGTCTGTGACTAAGAGCCATTGTGTCTAATGTAGCTCATTAGTGGAGTTGCTGGAGTCATTGTTTGTCATGAAGTGTAATTTCTGAAGGGAGTGTGGCAGTTACCGGCTTTACCCCCGAGTACAGATGAGAAGTGATAGCCACTCCACTTGTACTGAGGAGGAAGGTACGCTGTGTACAGCATGGTCACAGGGTTTTCAGACCTTCTGCCAATTCTCCCTTCACAGCTGACAGTGGGCTGCTGAGTGGGGGCTCCTGGAAGGAGCTGCTTTTTTATGGTGATCAGTGAGCTTGTCAGGCATCGAGCAAGGATTTGAACCACTCTTAAGCGTGCGGTTTGCTAATATGAAAAGTCTGCTCAACTTCTTCTAACTTGAGTTGTGAGTGTTCATTGATTGAGTGTGGAAGGCGTGGCTTTCTCCCATTTTATGATAGTCACTTTCCTCCATTTCTTTCTTCTAGTCTGTTACTCAAGACTTGATGCTTGAAGAATTTTTGGCCTGCAGCATGTGCTCTGGTTGCCCTTTGGATTTTTCTCTTCTCTGAAAGATTCTGCTCTTCCCACCTCAAATAAAACATTCCCTGCCACCTTCAGAGCTTTCCTTCAGATTGTGGAAGGATCACCAATCCACAGTGCCTGCCAAGTGGCCTTTGGTGTGGTTGTCTCAGGGGAGATGTGCAGAGGTGGAAAGGGCATGAGAGGGAAGCAGGAATTCTGTCATCTTCAGATGCCTGAGCTGCAGGGTCAACCAAGGCCCAGGAGTTATTAGAATCTTGGTTTTAAATCAGGCATAGCCACTGAGTTCATTAACTAAACTGCTGTCAGAGTGGGCAGTGGAAGTCAAGATGGCTCAGAGTAGATGTGGATGACTGAAGAGCTTGTGATCCTCCAGGGCACAGCGCAGCTCCATCTTCTCAGACACGTGAAGGATGAGGTGGAGCAGACGGTGTCACTCTTTACTCCCTCAGAGGACTGTGTGCCAGGGAGCAGTGATTTCCCACCTCAGACATCAACTGACATCGTAAAGATGAGGAACCAAGGGTTGAATTAGTTAATTGAAAGAAATATCTTGATTATCAATTATAGTGGTTCATTAATCAGTCAGGTATAGCTCCTGTCCCCTGTCCTGTGACTGTTATTTTGTTTCTGAAGTGTAAGTTAGAGATAGCTAGCATTTGGGGTAATCCCTTTAGGATTCCTGTCCATCCCTGCTGGGGTCATTTTTCACTTATTGTAGACAGCAAGGGGAATCTTGAAGCCTGGTCCCTCCTCCTGTGTTGGGCTAAAATACACACATACATCCCATTTATGTTCCATCTGACAAATTTGATAGCTGTTGTCAATTACCAAATCTCATTGGGAGGAAAGCAGACTGAAAACACAAAATGTAAATGACCACATATGTTCTTTGTGACTTGGATAACCTGCCTGTTCCCTGAGCTTCCTGCACAATGTCCTGCTTCACTAGGGGTCAGAGAAGGCACAGGGCCAAGTAGAGCTAGGATGTGATGTCCTAGACAAATGGCAGGGCTGCTCAGGAGTCCCCTCTGAATGGTAGCATTTCCCAGGCAAAAAGCTGCTTTGAAGAAGAATTAGAACCTCTTGGCTCTTCCTGGTTCCTAATCACCCCTTCCCAGGAGTACAAAGTTGAATAACTGGGTTTCTGGGTGTGAAACCAATGCTGCAGCTGCCCCTGGAATGCTGGGCTACTTTAGAAGAAATTCCATAGACTGGAGTCAACAGCTGGGCTGCAAAGCCATTTTTAACGTCCTTTGCCCCTGTTGTACTAGGCCAGATAGAATGTGTGATACACAGGCCGTTTCACAGCTCTAATGGCTTCTCCAAGCAGCTCGCCGCAGTGATGAGTTCCTGCCCATCCACGTTCCTCCAAAGAGCAGAATGCTCTGTGCTTCACTGTTTTAAGATTCCTCGATGGAGATGTGGCTGCTAATGCAGACAGAGCCTCTGCTCATACTCATAGTTAAGATGACCCAGATAAAGGCTCTGACCCAGATATCTCCTTGTGGCAAGTCCTTGAATGCTGGTCTTCTCCACTCACTTCTTTAGGACAGCTGTCCAATAAATGTCACCACCCTTGTCTTCTTTGCTGGCAGTTTTTGTAAAGAAGCCAAGAACAGAGGCTGTCTGCGCCTGGAGTGAGGCAAATTGATTAATAACTGTGGGTGGGGGATGGGGGTGTTTAAGCCATCTGTCATTGATAGCATCCTTTGTGGACAATAGGACTATGATTTCCAAGTGTCCTTCACTAACTTAAGCTGGGGGAAAAACTGTAAAGGCTGCAGGGATAAATCTGAATGGCATATTGTACATGTAGAAATTTGTGGTGTTCACTTTTTATCAGAACTAAATCCGGATTCTGGGGCTGGAGGACAGATAAAGCAGAAGTTGTTAATGGTTACGAAGCAAAGGTAAAAGGAAACTCTTAAAATAAGATTTAATATAGCTATTTAGCTTCTATGCAAATGAGGAGTCTGTTCAGATTTTTTTTCATGCATCTGTGCCATGAAGGTCCTCTGGGGATTAAATACTGTTTAATGTGTCTCTCACTTGGATGTTTGTTTTATTGACTTTCAGAAAAAGGGATAGCATGTTCTGAGGAGGTCTGTAGCTATGCCAAAGAGAAACAATGTTGTAGAGAAATGAGTATAGGTACCAGTTGTCCCAGTGGGAAGGACAAGCTAGTCATTAATGCTTCGAAAAAAGAAAAGGGATTAGATTTCACATGCTTTTTCATTTTTAAAAATAACCTGAGTGCTTTTTTTTTTTTTAAATCATGATAGCTTTTGTGTCTCTATTACTTGTATTTTTTTCTTTTTTAACTTATGTCTTTAGCTGATTCTAAGCCTCTATTTTTAAAAAATCAGCCTAATTGTAACCAAAGGCTCACAGCCTATTTGCATGACATCAGTGACTTTAAAGCGCTGTAATGGCGGAGATGATTGTCTGTTGAGTCATCTGGCCTTTTGTCAGATGGAAGGAAGGCTGTTTGCTGGCCTTCCCTTAGTTTTGCAGTACAGAGGGACTGATGGCTTGTGGGGATGGTGCCAGGTGCTGCAAGGTCCTCTGGTGGCCCCTGAGTGAGCAGAGAAAGCTTATGTCATGCTCAGCAAGATGCATTTAGAAATAGTCATTCTGGTGCTGAGTGTACTTTCTGCAGCTTTCAATGTTGGGAATCCACACATGGCATCTACAGTTAATTGTCTGTTAACTGTTATATTTGATTTTCCTCAGTCATTCCTGTTAACAGCATTTCCTCTGGCAGTTATAAAATAGATATATGTGTATATTTTGTCAGTACACAGAATACCTTTCCAGTAGTGATTTGCTGGTTTTCCCTGCCTCTCGCAGGTCTAGAGAACCTGTGTTCTTTCCTTTTCCTTTAAGGCAGTACTGTCAGATTACCACAGATCAGTGGGAGTTTGGGAGTCAGGTTTGGGTACCTTAGTACAGTAGGAGCCCAGGTGGGAATCCTAGTTGCAGGACATTTGAGACTGTTTAGCAACAAGAAGGCCAGGTAGGAAGATGCAATCTGTCGCTGTTCACTCCTCGGTGTTAAACTGTCAAATATGGAAAGTATCTGCTGATGCATTTCTAAGTGGTAGTTACATATTTTCTCTAAAGGTTCCTAATGATTGTTAACCATTTATCATTTTTATTTTGCTAGATTTTTTTTTTTTTTTTTGGCTTCAGCATTCTTGTTCTTGCTGTGCTTATTTTCTGAGATTTGATTCCCTGTGTCACTATTTTCTTTTGCACACATCTCTCAAGGTCTACACAGTAAACAATGTGAATGTGATAACCAAAATACGCACAGAACATCTGACTGAGGAGGAAAAGAAGAGGTACAAAGGTAATCACCGCCACCCTCCTGCCTCTTTGGTTTTCTTCTTCTCTTTTTCCTTGTATTTTTCAATCTAGAGAGAGCCTTTGTTTGTTCTGTTAAGTTTGCAGTAATGTGATCTGGACATGCTAATCCTAAGCCTGACTTCTTTTTTATGAAAATTTCCTGAGACTGACTCATTCTTGGAGTGTTTCCCCGTAGTTGTTTCAGCTGTAATTAAAGCCATTCATGAGGGTTTGTTTATGTGTTATGATGAACAATTGTTATATTCAGCCAAAAAAATGTAGATAAGGATGTGGGAGAATAGTATCTTGGGAATAAGTGATTTAGTCTTAACTATTGCAGTGAAAGATTTGGATGGAACTTGGGCTCTGAGCCAAACAGTTGCCACATCCTGACTCTGTCAGCTCTGTGGCCTTGTGAAGTTACACATGCTCCATGCCTAAATTTTCTTGGTAGTAAAATGAATGTGATACTGGTCCTTTTTCAGTTATTGAGAAGAATGAGATGAGCAGCCACGTGCAAACCTTTAGTACGGCACGTGCAGCATGTGGTAAGCATGTGGTAAGCATGTGGGTTGCCGCTTACCACCAGCACCACCATGACTGTGCCCATTGCTCAGTTTGACAGGAAACTAAGGCCCAGAACATATGGCAGTGAGTGACCGAGGCGGGATTAGAATCCAGATCTGGCTCACTCTTAAATCACGACTCTTTCTACTATTCTGCTGAATTCTTTCTACTATTCTGCTGAATTCTTGGTTTAGTGATCTTAATAAAAAATGTTCTGTAAAGGATAAATTAGAGTTATGGATGATTTTTATCAGCCTGACTATAAATGGGTTTCCTAATGCAGGTAGTTTGGATCCAAACATTAAAATATGATAAGGAACTTTTTCTATAGTCATAGTCAATTGTAATATTAGACATTAAACATTCCCTCCCTCTGCAGCGGACAGGAATCCACTGGAATCTCTGCTGGGAACTGTGGAACACCAGTTTGGTGCTCAAGGGGTAAGTTGAAGCCACATGCTTTCAGCTCAGTTTAATGAAAAAAAAAAATTATGTGTGCTTGTGATGGATCCTGATTAGGCTGCTCTCTTCAGAAATGTTAGAGAACTCCCAAGTTGGAATTGGAGGTATAATTTTGGATGAGAATTAGATGAGGGAGTCTTTGAAAATAAAGGTTTTGGAGGAGGGGTAAGAGTATAGAAATCAGGTGTTCTTGCTCTCGATTTCGCAGTCACTCATCCAGTATAAACTATGGTCCTTTCTATTAAAATGGCACTTAAAAAAGGGTTTGGGACCGTATTGTAATAGAGCATCTTAACAAACATTTTCTGATTTGTTCCTCACAATAAACTATGTGCAGTTGGTACAATCCATGTTACTGGGTGAAGTTCCAAAAAAAAAAAAGAATAAATTTTCTTTGCAGTGTTGAAACTCGAGAATGATAGAACTAGCACTTCAAGTCTTTCATGTCGTACACACTTTCAGATATTCTATCTCCCTCTCTCTTTTCTTTTCATAAGCAGGAGGAGAATAGAGAAAAATTTAAAGTTGGGAAACATTAGACTTGCCATGGTAATATCTTTATAGACTTTCTTGTTCCATGCAGTAACTTAATTTTAAAAGGTTAATGACTGGAACCTCTTGATCTGTAGTTGGTTAACATATCCGCCTCAGAGACCTGGTACACTAGGTGGAAACCTGTATTACTTGGCACTTCTGACTCTCCTGAATTCTGGCTCAGCAGGACCTCACCACAGAGTGTGCCACTGCAAACAACCCCACGGCCATCACGCCTGAAGAGTACTTCAGTGAAGAGTTTGATCTGAAAGACAGGGATATTGGAAGGCCAAAAGAGCTGACAATTAGAACACAAAAGTAAGAATGATTTGGTTGCTACTTTGAACTGATGGATTTTTCTCAGAGGTGCTGTTTTATGGTGTTAGGTTGTCATTCCTCTGCTCCTTTCCTTTCAAAAGAATTTTTAAATTACTTTGTCTGATGAAAACTAATTGTAGATTGTCCCTTTTCCAAATGGACTATAGAGTAGATATAGGAATTCTTTCTGCCGGGTGCAGTGGTGCACACTGTAAAACTAGCTACTTGGGAGGCTGAGGAATAAGGATCGTAAATTTGAGGTCATCCTGGGAAATTTAGAGAGATTCTGTCCCAAAATAAAAAAAATAAAAAAGGGCTGGGGATGTAGCTCAGTGGTAAAGTGCCTTTGGGTTCCATCCCCAGTACCAAAAAAGAAAAGAGAAAAAGAATTCTTTTTTCTTATTTAATTTTTTTATTATGAACAAATCTTGGCCAATCAAATGAAATTATTTCCATCAGCTATCAATTTCTTCATGCTTATTATCAGTTAAGGCTGCTGTAAGAGTAGGTTGTAATATAGACAGTTTTCCCCATTGCCCGATTCCAGGGTGATCTGAATTCCTCATGGGTCCAGTCCCTCAGTAGTTCTGAATTAAGAGATAATGGGGGGGCGGGCAGAGAAAAAATGGAGGAACTTTGACTGGGCAAAGGGCAGGGTGGGGTGGGGAGGAGGCATAGGGGCATGAAAGATGGTGGAATGAGATGGACATCATTACCCTCAGTACATGTGTGGCTCCACATAAGGTGCGATGCTACGTCTGTTGTGTACAACCAGAGAAATGAAAAGTTGTGCTGCAGTTGTATACAACAAATCAAAATGCATTCTGCTGTCATATATACCTAATTAAAATAAACAAATAAGTAAATTAAAAAAAAGAGATAATGGGGAAGAATGTGGAATAAGGAGGCTGGTGTTGTCTAGCTTACTGCATAGCAATAATGTGCTCTCCCCACGTGGTGGAGGTAGCCTTAGTATTTCTTTTGTTGTTGTTGTTGTTGTAGATGGACACAATATCTTTATTTTTATTTATTTATTTTTATGTGGTGCTGAGGATTGAACTCAGGGCCTCATGCGTGCGAGGCAAGTGCTTTACCACTGAGCTACAACCCCAGCCCTGGCCTCAGTATTTCTTTGATCGAATTCTACAGGTTTAAAGCAATGCTGTGGATGTGCGAAGAGTTTCCCCTCTCCCTGGTGGAGCAGGTCATTCCTATCATTGACCTTATGGCTCGAACTAGTGCTCATTTTGCAAGACTGAGAGATTTCATCAAGCTGGAATTCCCACCTGGATTTCCTGTTAAAATAGGTATCATTAAATAAAACTCAGGAACACTTGTAAGTTCTGCCCATTTTTGTGGATGACAGAATCACAGAACTGGAGCACTTTTGGTACAGGGTAGCACACAATAAACATAATGCAGGGATCTGAATTATTCTCTGGTTTGATTTGATTTAAAGAAGTGTCATGATGCTAATAAGTTCATTTTACATAACAAAATTTGGGGATCTCCAACCATCAGTTCAATTTATATATGGTGCTGACAGATTAAAAAGGCATGGAAGAATTCATTGTTTTAATGTCAACTGTCAGCGAAACTTCAAATTTGATAATTACTTAAGACAATTGACACCAAGATCCTTTGATAACATAAATATATTTTAGGGCCTGAACTAGTATGTATGATGTTTTATATAATCCATATGATTTGTGAGGAATTTTAACATTCCTGACATTTGAATTCTGGTCAGTCACTTAATCGCTGTGATCAAGAAGAAAATGCTTAACTCTGAATCTACTGTTTTCCCTGTATGTTGTTAGGAGGTTTCAGTGAAATCATAATGGTAAGAAGTGCTTGGCATAGTACCAGTAAGGACACAGTAAGGGAATACTTTCAGTATTCTTCTCAAGAAGTTTATTTATAAGAATTTTTACTTTTTATAGAAATTCCCTTGTTTCACGTCTTAAATGCACGGATTACTTTTGGAAATGTTAATGGCTGCAGCACTGCTGAAGAAACGCAAAATGAAGGGACCCAGGCTGATTCAGGTAAGAAAGCAAAGTTGTTTTGTGATTAAAAGAAGTTCATATATTAGTCATTAAATTAATTATTCAGTTTGAAATGGGGGTATCTTGTGAAGTAGATCTCTGTTGGATAAGAAAAATTAGATTTAGTTTAAATTAAATGAAAAAAATGACTTGTAGAATATGTATGACCCCACTCGTATTAAAAAGACAGTATATTCTTAAAAATCAGCTTTATTAAGAGTGATGTCGTACAGTCTAATGCTCCCATTTAAAGTGGATTTGAATGAATGTGTACTGGACACCACCACAATCAAGACAGAGAGCATTCCTAGGTGTCTCCATTATTTATTTCCTCATGTTCCTTTGCGTCAATCCAACTCATATTTGGGATACTATTATAAATGGATCTGTTTTATTATTTTGTCCAGTTATATTATATAGAAATTGATTTTTAAATTTTGACCTGTTATCATGTAACATTACTGAATTTACTTGAATTCTGGTAGTTTTTTTTTGTAGATTCCTTAGAATTTCTTATGTACATGATCATTTTGTCTGTGAATAAATACAGTTATAATTCTTCCCTGCCATTCTTTAAGCCGTTTATTTCTTTTTCTTGCCTTGTCAGACTGGCTAGGACATCCAGTACAGTGTTGAATAAGAGTGGTAAGAATGGACATCCTTGCCTCGTCCCTGACTTTAGTGGAGCAAGGGCTGTTTCATTATTAAGTATATTAGTTGTAGGTTTCTTTGTAGATGTTCTTGAGTAGGTTAAGGAGATTCTCCATTTGTATCCTTAGTTTGTTGAGAGTTGTTTTTGTTCTGTTGTGGTTTTGAGGTATTGGGGATCAAGCTCATTGTTGAGGGTTTTTACCATTGTTAACTGATTTTTATTAAATGCTTTTTCTCCAACTATTGAGGTGGTCATATGGTTTTTCTCCTTTTAGTCTACCAGTCTGATGAAGCATTTTAGTGTACATAACTTAAAATTTGAAATTAAAAAAGTTGTGGAGTGAACAATAATATACAATTTTATACTCCCATGTGGCAGTAAAGTTGGGTAATATGAGGTTGTGCAGCAAAGGAACATTCATTTACTTTTGGCAGGAAGTGTAAATTGGAATACTTTCTTGAAAAAAACAACACCTGGCATTAATTAGTAAATTAAGATGTGACACTCTATGATCTAACAATTTTTAGGTATCTACCCCCAGATAAACTCATTCATATGGGCATCTGGAGACGCCCAGTAATGGCCAACAGAATTGCTTACAATAGTGAAAATCTGAAAACTACATAGATGTCATGAGATCACAGAATGTGCTAATTGTGTTACATAATACAACAGAATAAAATACAGTAGTGAAAATAAAAATTTATAGCCAAGTGTAGCAACACTTAAAAACATAGTGTTGAATGAAAAATAAAACCAGTTTGAATAATTCTATATGATTCCATTTAAGTCAAGTTGAAAACGGGTTAAACAAACCACTCAGATTTTGCACATATAGTAAAATTCCATAGAAGAGCAAGGTAGTGAAAACTGCAGTTGGAGGAAGGGGATATTAAGGGATGTACACTTGGGATATGCATGGGCAGTATTCCATGTCTTAGGCTAGGGAAGGAGACACAGGCATTTGTTTTATGGTTGTCATTTTTAAGTGTTTAGATAGTTCATATACTCCCTTTTTTATATGTTTACCATATTTCCTATTTTAAAAGGAAAAACACATTAGTGTGACTCCCTGTATAAAGACACATAAACACTCCCATGTAGACATACATATAGCGCAGTCCTCAAAGGACACACAAGGAAACCCTTGTTACCTCTGGAGTTTGGAAATAGAATTAAGGAGAGAAATCTTCACTTTTCATTCTGTAGTCTTCTATTTTTTTTTTTTTTTTTTAATTTTTTGGTACTTGGGATTGATCCCAGAGGCGCTTTCCCACTGAGCTAACATCTCTAGCCCTTTTTATTTTTTATTTTGAGACAGGGTCTTGCTAAGTTACTGATGCTGGCCTCAAACTTGCAACCCCCCCACCTCAGCCTCCTGAGTCCCTGGGATCACAGGCATATGCTACTGTGCTGTATTTTATTTTTTATAACTGCATTAATTTGTTTGCTAAAATCAAGGCAAAAGAAAAAGGTGCATTATGATATTTTTTATTGTCATAATTATTTTCTCAAAATCTTTTACATAATAGCAAACCTTGATTATTCAACTTTGATCCTTTCATTCTTTTATTTAATTAAAATTTTTTTTTTTTTTTTAAGTTGGCATGGTGGTGAGTGCCTATAGTCCCAGATACTTGGAAGGCTGAGGCCAGAGCACTGCTCTGAGTCCAGCAGTTTGTGGCCAGCCTGAGCAACATAGTGAGACCCTGTCTCCAAAACAAAACAAACTCCCTACCCGCCTCGAAGTTTGACTGGAAAGTTGTTATAATTAACTTGGACGCTGGATGGTTGCCTTTTGTGTTTCAGCTTCCCAGGTCACCAATTTTGAGGTTGATCAGTCTGTGTTTGAAATTCCCGAATCTTATCACATTCAAGACAATGGCAGAAATGTGCATTTGCAGGATGAAGATTATGAGATAATGCAGTTTGCCATCCAGCAGAGCCTCTTGGAGTCCAGCAGGAGCCCGGTGCGTTTGCAGGATAAATGACAGGGCTTTGGAAGTGTTACCCTCAGGTTTCAGCTATCACCAGAGACTTAGCCTAAATAGCAAGTCTGGTGCATCGGGTATATCCAGAGATCATTCAATGTTCTACAAACCAGGTCTTTTACAAAAGCTCGTCATGTTCGAGACCATCTACGTAATCCCAGTCAGCATCACTCACAAGGTGCCTTCAGACAGGCTTTCCTTTTTCTGTTGTGTTCACCCGGGTAACTAATGATTATGTACATTTCAGGGTGTGCTTTATAATTTTCTAGTATTGAAGCGGTAATTTCAGGGTAACTTACACTATTGTCTTTTTCCTGAGATACTATTTGTCAGTAGACTTAGATGAAGGTAGTAATGGGCTTTTAATCCCCACCTCCTCCCCAAGAAAGAACAACATGGGGTGGTGGTTCCCCAGTAAGTAGGTGATGAAAATGGCTCTTAATTCTGAAGTATGCAAATTTTTTGACTCATGAGAGGCGTCATCCCCTTAAACTCTCTGCTTCTCTAGCAAAAAGTGGAGCTAGGAACAGGAGAGACCTGGGTAAGAATAGTGGCCTTATGTCCTGTTGGTGGTGTCTGCAGACTTCACCTGCCCGGGACAGTCTGAGCCTCAGCTCCTCCCCCATCATTGGCTCCTTCTGTCCTTTCCCTTCTCTGGTTCTCTGCTCTACTCTGCTGGGTCTGGTCTGCTTTTTCCACCTTCTGATGGAATCCCTGGGCTCCTGCTGTCCGTTGGTTTGGTTGCTGCTTTTTTCTTTCCTCCCAGTGTTCTCTCAGCAGGTATTTGCAGAGTGTGCTGGGAATTCTTTGGTGAGGCAGCCCTGTCCCATCCTCCTGGGGCTGCTAAGCTTGGAGAGTAGTACCCACATTTTAGCACCTCTACTTATTGAGTTTATCAAGTCTTAAGCTTGAGTAATCCGAGTCCCCTCCTTCACATTCCCTGCTACCACCATAGACCAATTCACAGACCCTTCAGTTTTCTGAGGCTGCTGGATTGAAGGCCAGATCCCAGAGCAGGCATGTTTCCCTTGGGAGGCTCCCTGGTAGATCTCGGCCCCAAATCTCAGTGCCAGCCCAGCACACCCTTCCTTCCGTCCCTTCTGTAAGTAGGATTAGCTTTTCCAAACCCAGTATCTATGGAAACTTTATTGACCTAAGTTTTGAAAAGGGGAGTAGCCAAAGTTCAGTATGACAAATATTGAATTATGTCTTCTGCCCTAAAAACCTGCTTTGGTCATTTAAATGTTGCCCAAGTTTAGCTGTTTTCATTAGATTGATTTTTGTGTAAAGTATGGTGGTAGTTGTTCATCAGGGTAGCACTGCATGGTGGTACGGTTGTGACCTGACATTTGGTGTCATTGTTGAGGTAACCCAAGTCCTTGTCAGTATTTCACACCAGACTACCAATAATAGGCATGTAAATATTTAAAATTTTGTTTCTTGCTGCTTTGGTTTCCTTATCAGTGTGGTAACTATTCCTTCTAAGAGGTATTCATGTCAGTCATGTTTGATTTTGCTAGGAACTTTCTGGACCAGCTTCGAATGGAGGAATCAGCCCAACACAGAGCTATGAGGCCCAGTACGAGAGGTAATTGACATGAGTCTTAATGATGTGGCTCTTGTCAAACCAAAGTTGACAAAGGCACTTAATAACGCAGGCAGACGCATGGCCCAGCCCCTAGCAGGAGAGACAATGTGTAAGCTCTGCTGCTTCCTCTTTGGCAGTTAGTCGTTAAACCAGCTCTGAACCCTTGACAGTGCCTTTCCAGGAAGGGGTGGTAATGCCGACTGGTTCCCAGGTCTGTGCCATTGGCAAAAAAGATCAAGGAAATGTTTTCTGATTGGTTTGATCCTCTATGAATGTCTGATCACAGGGGAAGTTTCTCTAGTGGGAAGTTTATACAGTGTTAAAGATCACCACACTTGGAGTAAGAGCTACAGAGATGATTAGAATCACTTTTTAAGGGAAAAACTGATTCATTTTCTTATACTTTAAGGATGTATGAGAAACTGTTATGGAGAACCTGGGTTTTGCCTCACAACAGACTCAAATTTAATTTGCAGCCCCATCACTTAGTAGCTGGATAAGCTTAGGCAGTCTTCTTTGAGTACTGGGTTTCTCATCCGTGTTCAGCACTGGCACACCTCAGGTTAAGATGGCGTTGTGCACACAAAACACAGCATGAACCTGGGAAGCAGTTACAAAATGCAGCTGTCACCATGACCTTAGTAATAAGCATCTCTCTTCTTTTTCCAACACAGAGCTATCCAGGAGAGCCTCCTCACCAGCACAGAAGGCCTGTGCGCAGATGCCCTGAGAGACACGAGCCGGTTCGACAGCGACTTGCAGCTGGCCATGGAGCTCTCTGCCAAAGAGCTGGAGGAGCAGGAGCTCCGTCTCCAGGAGGAGGAGGCTGAGCTCCAGCAAGTCTTACAACTGTCACTCACTGAGAAGTAGAACTTGCTGCCCGCGGGCTGCACAAAGCAGAGGCTCTGGGCTGCACATTAGTGCTGTGTCAACTGAGGCCTCAGGGCTGAGGACCTACACTTCTGCAGATGACAGCTGCCCCTTCTTTACACAGAAGTGCAGGACCAGGGACTACCAGGCCCATCCAGGACATTCCCCAGAGTGGAGAAGAGTGGGGGATTGGCAGGCCCCATCTCCAGGCTAAGGGGAGAAGAACATTGTCACTTTCCATTAGTTGTATGGCTTGCAGGTCACATTTTTACTACCAGCTTTAGACAAAAACCCAATCCCTGCAGGTCTATAGATACATTTTTATCAAGGAGTGATAACAAAACAAGTTATTGCAGAGTCAGGGTGCTTTTATATACGAGAGCAGCAGCAGCAGCAGCAGCCTCTGTAGAGTGGTTTATGAGAATCTGAGACCTTCTTTACTGTTCACCAAAGAAATGGGTTGTGCGGATCTATTCTTTATTTTTACCTTTATATATAGGGTTTTTAGAACATTGTCATTATTCCTCCTCCATCTCCACCTTATTCCATTCCTTCCACCCCCAGCTAAAGTTAAAGAGGAGATATGTACAGGATCTATTTTAGATTATGGTTAACTATTTGCATCAAATTAAGATATACAGATGACCACGGATGTTGCCTTAGCCTTAAAAATCACTAATAGTTTGAAACCACCTCACTCCATGTATTGAGGGATCTGATTTGAATTTGTAAAGGCAGCTCCTTTGGGAGCAGGATCCTCCAGGCTAAATCAAAGGCAGCTAATCCTGTCCCTGAAGGAGCTGCTAGAGGAAGCCATGGCTCGTTCTTGAACTGGGGGAGCTGGCCACAGTATCAGAACAGCAGAGAACTAAACCAGGGTGACTTCTGCACCTCGTCTGGTAAGAATTTCCAGAAAGACACTTAGGAAAAACGGGCCACATGTCACCCAAAGGATAGGGATGGATTTGAAATTAGAAAGGGAGTTAATGTAGAGCTCAAATGGTTCTTCACTCAAAAGGGAAAAAGGGATTCCATGTTGCTTTTTAGAGTTCAAATCAACATCTTTCTGGATGAATATATTTTTTAACAGAATCTTTTTATTATTTTTAAAAGATATAAAAAAAATGACTACTCCCATCAGTAGCAATACAAGGTTATACATTTTAACCAGATTTTCTCAGGCCTTTTTTGGATACTTTTAGTAGTTAACTATTTTGTCTAACCCTCCTGTAAATACCCATCGCATAACAGACAGACCCCTGGGGAATACAGCTGAGGGCACCTCTCCCTCTGGCCCATGTATTTATTCCCACAGGCTGCACTGAAATAACCTGGTAAACAATATCCTCCTCTGTTCCACATCTATTTCCTGTTGCGCTTCTTTCAGGATAGGAAGAGAAACATACTACCGTTCCAGTTAATGTCTGTATCCTACAGTTAGTGTTGCCAGTAGAAGATTTCTACACACAAAGAATTGTGCTTTTAATTCCATATTGCCATCTGCCTTTTTGTCACGGTCTGACCAAAATTCCTTCTCTGCACAGGAGGCCAGTACAGGCAACATCACTTTTGTTTCATATGCAGCTTGGCGTTTTGTTTACTTGGCATTTACTGTGAGCGAAGACACTTTTGGGGAATGGCTCTAGTTAGGCCACGTCATTTACTCACTAAGGTGAATCATAGGCAATTTCTGTGTTTGCATTCCATTGCTCTGCTTCCCAAAGTCTTTTGACTTTCTCCCTAGGAAGTCACTTAAAAAGGGACTGAGCAACATGTCAACCTGTCAAAGCGTTTTTCCTATGTGTTCTCTTAAAATGCAAATAAAGACTGCTTCTGTAGAGGGTGCTCATCCAGTATCCTATTCAGTCCGAGTCTTGTCTCTTTTTTAAAACATTTTTTTTTAAGTTATAGATGGACACAATATCTTCATTGTGTTTGTTTATTTTTATGTGGTGCTGAGGATCAAACCCAGTACCATACATGTGCGAAGCAAGCACTCTGCCACTGAGCCACAACCCCAGCCCTGAGTCTTGTCTCTTTTTTTTTTTTTTGCATTTTCTTCTCATCACTGGAACAAGTTGCTCGGTTGTATACCATGACAAGGTGGCACACTTCTGTCAACCTTCCTACCAACTCACACAGACCACATGTGCCACACAAATTGTTCCAGATGAAAAGGAAAAGCATCCACATTGGATTGCTCAGCCAGCCCTGCAGCAGTGTCCCCAGGCGCACTGGCTCTGGAGGAGGACAGGAGGGCCCGCTGAACACTCCTTCCCTGGTGTGCTTTGGGAGGCTATTTTTACACATTCAGATGATACTTAGGGCTTCCAGACTCATCTTACACTTAATACGTTTTACTAAGTCACAAAAGGTAGTTTACGGCCAGTAAAAATTGTTTGGGTTCTGGAAATGAGGCTTTGATATTTCTGGGAGGATGTGAAAAAGCTGCTTTGCTTTTGTGGGAAAGTAGATACCAATTCACTGAGCCATGAGAGCACTGTGAAGAAAAGAAAATGATTCTCCTTAGGTCAAGTGGATGGATGATTTAACAATAGTTGATAGAAGGATGATCAGATGATGTAACAATAGTTTTCTTTTTCTTTTTTTTTTTAACTCTAGGTTCATTCAAGTTTGAATGACCCAATATCAGCAGAAACTTTAACTAAGCAACTTTTAAGTTTCTAAGACTTTCTGTTCCATAAAGAAGCCTGTCACACTGCACATGATGTGAGGTGTCAAAGAAATAGAAAAGTCTGTTCTCAATATCGAAAGGAAACGTAAATTTTCCAGCCTCCTGCTGACCACAGATGGCATTAAAAAAGATGGGCTATGAAAATTACAAGTGACTGGTGATGGGACTCAAAGTCCAACCTTGACCTATGTCTAGAAATAGGTAGGTGTGGGTTAAGATTAACGTCCAGTTGAGAAAAGTGTAATACACGAATGGTACCCAAGAGTCTTCAGACCTCAATCGGCACTGAGAGCCTTCTGAATCTCAACTTTAAGAAGTTTATTTAGTGTTTGCTAACATGTTCTTATTGGTGCAGGTTAAACACGTGTTCATCCGGCTACACAGGTAGTATTCTGAGAATGGTTTAGTTATGTGGTCTAGGGTTGACAAGCATACCTTCAGAGATGAAGACTAGGGAAGTAATCTGTTTGAAAGTACTAGTTGGCTAGTCTTGACTGCATAAAAGTTTTGGGGATAATTATCTCCCCCCAGAATTCCCTCTACAAAAGGCCTCTTTCTGCAAAGATTATTTTGTTGAATTGATACAGATGATGAAACTGGAACATAAATGTAGACTGGGTCTTGGATTTGTGTGTAGAATATCATTATTGCACAGTTGTTTCAGAAAACTGGAACAGATGAGTGGTAATTCTAAGCGAAAAGCAAGTCACAAGATTTAACTGTTTGACAAGTTTTTACTGTTTCATTTTAAAATTCTAAAAATGGCAATGAACATCATAGCAGTATTTGAAGATGTTCTTCCAGATGAGATGGTAATGGTTATGTATTCCTAGGACTGGACTCTTGTAAATGCCAGTCTCTGTATCCTACCCCCTTCTTCCTCAGTCAGTAACCTAGGACTTCTATGGGATGGTCCAGCTGTGGTGATTCTTCCTCCATTTGTATTATTTTTCACATCATTGGATTTTTACAATAATTAAGAGAGTGTGTATATCACCACTTTACAGATTAGAAAGTTGAGGCTCTAGAGAGGTTAAGTCTGTTTATAATTGGAGATGGGACAAGAATCCAAGCCTTACCTGGATCCAGCCTGAGAGTTGATTATGGCCTAGTTTCCTTTTTTTTTCTTTAAAATTATTATATTTACTGAAACACAGTCTCAAATGCATAAAGTACGCATTAATTGGTTAATCAAAGGAAATTTTTAAAAAATGGACTTCCATTTTGTGATACTTTAAAATCTTTCTTGGTGATTGATAGATTAAGTAGATGAAATGAATTAAAAAACCCACTAAGATAAGGGCTGGGGTTGTGGCTCGGGGAGAGCACTCACCTAGCATGTGTGAGACCCTGGGTTTTTGACTTTTATGCAGTCAAGACTAGCCATCTAGTACTTTCAAATAGATTACTTCCCTAGTCTTCATCTCTGAAGGTATGCTTGTCAACCCTAGACCACATAACTAAACCATTCTCAGAATACTACCTGTGTAGCCAGATGAACACGTGTTTAACCTGCACCAATAAGAAAATGTTAGCAACACTAAATAAACTTCTTAAAGTTGAGATTCAGAAGCCTTTCAGTGCTGATTGAGATCTGAGGACTCTTGGGTACTATTCGTGTATTATACTTTTCTCAACTGGATGTCAATCTTAACCCATGCCTACCTATTTCTAGACATAGGTCAAGGTTGGACTTTGAATTTCCATCACATACTGCACCACATAAAAATAATAAATAAACATTGAGGGAAAAAAACCCACTAAGATAAAATAAAGCAAAAGGCTGTAAATAAACTTGATGTAACAGATACAGAATATTAGAATTAATTTTCCTAAGGTCACCACGGAGATCAGAAACCTAAATCAATTTTTTTCCAAGAAATTAGCAGTATTCAGATCACAGTTTGTAACCACAAAGTCATAAAGTTTGAATTTTAAATCCTTGGTAAAACGCATACATTTGAACATTAAAAATACCTTCTAAGTACCTGTATAGTCAGTCAAAGTAGAAATCAAAATCAAAAAGGTGAGAACTGTTAAATCTTGACCCTGAAGTACATGGTTCAGTTTTTTAAAATTAGTACCTTTGTCTAGTGGCAATAAATTGTTTCACATGAATTTAAAATTCCACTTCATAGTGCTTCCTTAAGAAATCAGGTTCACACATACATACCCACACCCACACCCACACCCACCCACACACATCCCTACCTGCACTTTAACACTTGGGAAGTAATTACTAAGAGTAAAACAGCACATAGGGTTTGGCTTTCATTTTAATTGACAGTTTGCTCAAAAGTACAGAACGAAGAACATCTCAATGGCTCAATGTTACAAGGTTAAACAAAGTCCTTAGGTCACATTGTTACAGTATGCCTCATCAGTTATTTCACATTAAGTGCAGGTTGTTGAGAAAAGAAAATATCAGTGCTGTGCTAAATAAAGCACAAGATAAGCATTTCAACTTCATAACAAAATTAAATCTAGCACCTTTAAAATAAATACTAATAACCAGTCTATAAGTGTGGAAGTATCATTTCTATAGGGGTAAAAAATCCAGTTTACCAGCAGTGCAAACTAACTAATCTCAGCATTTTCAAAACTGAGATTGAATTTATGTAAACACACAGCAGCCCACAGTGGAAATGTACTTCTTGGTTGAGCCCCCCCATACCCAGGGCTGAACAGGGTTCCTGCTGAGTCTCGGTTCCCCATCTGAAAAGCTAACACAAGTTTTAGGGCTGGAAAGACTTAAGTACTAAACAAAGGGATCACTGTGTCTGAACAGGATGGAGTTCTTTTCCTGAGGGGCCACCTAAACACTTCCAGTTCAATCCCAGAGCTTTCTATGCCAAGGGTGCATACAGTAATAGGCCTACCTGATGCGACCCTGACTTCATTGGGGGACATCCACATACAGAGTTGGATGCAGGTAGAGAGTCACAGGCTCAAGTTCCCTACAGTGGACACTGCTTTGCAACCAGGGCATTCTAAGTCAACTCAGTATAATGAAAATTGTGATTCTTAATCTGCTGTGAGCAGATGGCTCTAGTGCAGGCAGTGTCTCTACAGGTTAAGCCTTCCTCTTACTACTATTTCAAGCATTAATGGTAGTCCTTTCCAGTGTGGTTCTTATGGGTACAGGGTTACTATGTTTTCTTTCTTGTGAATACTCCATCTTTGCCCTGAACCTTGGAGCATCAGGTCTTTTACAAGTACAGTCAGACATAAAAAGAAACATCAAGAAGCAGCTCAGCAGCCAAATTACTTGCATTAGGATGTTAGGGGAAAAAAAATCACTAGTAGATTTTTTTTCTAAACCATTTAGCTTTTAACAAATGACCAAAGGTCATTTCCAAATAGAAAAGTTCTGATTCCAACTTCTCCATTGGCCCATGTGCAACACAACTTATCCTGTTCCCAAAAGCTTGTGGCGGAACTTGCTTGCTTGGCTGTTATCGACGCCGAATGGGCTTGTAGACACAAAATGCCATAAGGATGACGGTCACCAGCAGGATGCTGAAAATGGTTCCCATCAACACTGCAAAGAGAAAATATGTTACTCCTAAGGGCACACAGATTCTGCAATTCATGCATTTGTTGACTATGATTTTTCAAATGCCACTTACTGCCAGGCACTGTGCCAGGAGGAGGGGAGAGAGCTGTGAATAAACCCTTGTGCAGTGAGACATAAGTAAAAGCCTTTCACATACCTTGATAAGCTGTGAAGAAAACAGTGCTGTGATGGTGATGGGATGGCAGGCAACAGCAGGTAGGGTGGAGGAGGAAGCTCAAAGGTGATACACAAGCTGAGCCCCTGATAACAGGAAGGAGCAGCTGTGTGCAGCTCTGCAGGGAGAGCATTGCCCTCCCAAGGATCAGAGAAGGGCCAGAAGAAAAGGAGACAAATATGAAGGAGTAAAGAGAGAAAGGAAAGAGGCCAGACAGGAAGGCTGAAGCCAGTTTATGTAGGGCCCTGGAGCCCATGAAGAAAATAAGGACTTCCCCGCAAAAATTTAAAGAGGAGCTTCAGGAGGACTGAAGGCAAAGGGAGACATGCTTGGATTTTGCTGGGGAAAAGATCCCTCTTGCTGCTGTGTGGAGAACCATCTGACTACAGACAGGTAACAGGTGCAGGGAGCCCAACTATGTCTGGAAAGCCACTAGTAAGACCTGGAAATTCAGTAAACAATAAAATATTTCAGTCTCTTAATATTGTCTTGACCAGGATCTTCTCACCAAAGAAGCAATTAACCAACTGCACAAACCTATTATGTTTTTGAGAATAAAGTTCACAACTAAAATTTTCAAGGTGCTCAGGTGAGAAGTGGGATCTACAACTATTTACTCAAGTTGAGCTTTGCTGGTACAGGATGATAAGGACCAGTGCTTTAAAATATTAACCAGTCACCTGCCAGAAGGTTTACTCAACAGCAGTAGTGATGTGCAACCGTGTTTCCATAACAGAGATCTTAGGAAGCATTCAAAATGCTGTTACCATTAATAAGCAAGTATATTTATATGTGCTTGTAAGTAAGTGGGCCCAACTCAAATTCCAGCTGGGGCCTAACCATGGTTGTTTTCCAATCAAGTTACTGTTCCTCTGGAAAACCAACATTTCACCAGTTTTCTTCGAAACAGTAATTTCAGAGTATTTCCCCCAGTGCCCCATCATCATCCACACTTAACCCAATTATTGCATGGGAAGGTCATCTTTTTAGGTGAGTGAGGGAGAGCAGAAGGTTAGAAGAGATGACAAAGACAGTGTACCATAACTTCAAAAGGTTACAAGTAACTTTAATGTCTTTATTAAACAAAATCTACATCTTATGTGAGCTAAATATCATATCTCAAATAGCCCTTGTTTCCTAAACACCTGCCCCAATTTTCAAAAGTCTTGAATTCCAAGTTCCTAAAATTCCAACTGTAATTAGATTCAAAACCGTCTTATTCTGCTTAAGCCATTTTCTTGAATTTAGAAGGGATCTAAAAAATTTAAACTCCCAAAGCAGAAATTCTGAGGATTGGAATAGGGGATGGAAATCTACTTAAAATAAATTAAAAACAGCTTAAAAGCATGTGTTATGAGGTATACAATGTCCATTGGGACAGCTACCAATCCATCTGGGGCTTGATTGATTCTCCTGCTCACCACCTCTCTCTGCACTTTCCATGTAATATCAGTTATCTGACTGGCAGGTCCAGACAGAACCTATTAGACTATTTCACTCCATTCTTATGGTCAGTTCCCATAAGGGAGCATGATTTTCTGCATCCATCAAATGGGACAAATGACACCCACTTAAAAAGATTGAGGGGCAAATAAAAAAGTGCTCAACAAACTGCTGGACATATAATAAGCACTGTTACTATTGTCAAGATCAGCAACATGGCACAGGTTTGGGTTTCCATGTATGTTTTCAAGCTACATAAGCTTACACAAGTCATCCAACCTCCGTGTCTGTTTCCTTGTCTGTAAAATTAGGTAAAAATACCCACTGCACAGGATTGTCTAGGGCCATGTTTCTGGTACTACCAATGGTAAAGGACTAGTTTTTATGCTTTATGGCCCAGACCTGCAGCTCCCTTCACCTGCGAAGCGTTCCAGGTTAGAGATACCTAAAACTGTTCTCCACTTGCTGGGATGTTACAACATCACTGTGTTAAATTCTGAAACACTCAATTTCTGCAGTCATCTCTTTGAAGATAACCTAGATTGCAGACCACCCTCCGAGGAGTGCTGATCTACAGCACTGGTCTCAGCGCTGGGGATGTTCACCCAGAGGTCACTGGTAACCACTGGAAACATTTCGATGATCTAAACAGGGTGGGCTATTGGCATCTACAGGGTAAAGGGTGGGGGTATTGCTAACCAACCTACAGTGTTCAGGGTAGCTCCCTCCACCTGAGAAAGAATCTTTTGATCCAACATGTCAGTAGTGTCCAGGGTAAGAAATCCTGACAACGTGTGGAAGCGACTTCGCAGGGTGCTCAGGGGTTTAGGGAGCGCCTCATTGCCTAGCCCTCGCAACCACACAGGAGGGGGCCCAGGCTGAGATGCAGGCTGTTGTCCATTCCGGTTCATTTAGGCACAACCAGCACATTCCGGGAAAATAACAAATTACCGGGCCTTGTGCTGAGCATCAGGCCTTCGGAGACAGGGTCTAGAGGCTCCTGAGAGTCCCCACCTGCCCCGGGGCCCTCACACATCTCCCACCCTGTGTGGCAGGTTCCTGCGGACCGAAGCTGCAGAAGCGGAAGTGCGACCCACCGCCTGTCGCCTGCGGCTGCTCACCTAGGTTCTGTCCGCGCAGCACCGCATACGGCCGGCTCCGCTCCGACGGCTCCACTGGGCTTGGGGCCTTCGCCTGCCCCAGCAAGAGGCTGCACAGGCCCAGACCCAGCCACAGCCACACCGAACGCAGCATCTTCCGCGGCACTAGTGGTAAAGAGGCCACTTCCGCCGTAAGTCCCGCCCTTGCCTCCAGCCGCGGCCCGCTTTCCGCAGCCTGCATCCGCCCGGTGCGTGTCGTTGCTAGGGTGACAGTACCTCCCCGCTAATGTTCCGAACCTGCAAGGGTTCCCTATGGATTAACGTTCCGCCCAGGCAAATTTTCCGCACGTTCCGGGCATCATTCCACTGTCTTTACCGATCCTCCGGGACCCACGTCGCCCCGTGCGTTGGGCTGCAAGAGGCATCATTCGGTAGGAGTCTCTTAGGTCCATTCTGGACCTATGGAAGTGTGTGTGTGTGTGTGTGTGTGTGTGTACCAATCCATGCCTTTTCTTACTAAATCTCCACCAGACCTGAAAAATAGTGTTCCCATTTTACAGATACCACCTGAGGGAGTCCTTAGCTAACTCTGCAACCCTCCCTCTGCCTCAGAATGCACACTCCTACCCTCGTTCTTTCATCCCCAGTGTCCTTAAACTCACCACCATTTACCTTTTACACTTGATGTACATTTTGTGATATTCCTGCCCTCCGCTCTAGAATGTAAATTCCAGGAGGCAGTGGTTTTGTTCTTGCTCACTGCTCTATCGCAGAGAGAAGAGTAGCACAGGATGTGCAATGGATGTTTGCTGAACAAGCGAGGACACTGCGCTTAAAGTGTTTTGCCCCAAGGCTACATATTGTAAGCGGCAGCGCTAGAACTTGACCCCGTTATTATACATTCTCAAACTGGAGGCTTTTCCAGTTCACCCACTGTCTCATGTCATTGTTCAGGTTTGACTTGTGGTAGGATTAGTACTATCTACCTCACAAAACACAAGGCATGCAAAAGAGATAATGGAAAGCATTCTGCCAACTCTAACTAGTTATACCCAAATGCATGAGATCTCACAGGTCTTCATTTATATATTTATTTTAAAATTGGATTGGGAATGTAGCTCAGTGGTAGAGCATTTACCTAGCATGCAACAGGGCCCTGGGTTTAATCCCTAGTACCGAAAAGAAAAATTAAGCGCTTACCACTTGTGTGTCCTGATGTAACTTTTAGTCTAGTTAGGAAGGCAGATCATCAAGGATCACAAAGAGAATTATATGATTCAAAATAGCAATGGATGCTATAAAGAGAAATAATAACAACAGGGTACTGAATTTACACATCAGGGAGGCAATTCCCATCAGGCTGGTGGAATAGCTTTGTGAGATCTGGTCCTGGGAACTGTGGAATGTAGGGCGCTAAAAGAACCTCCATCTGAGAGGAGGATAGAGAATGGTTCTCTTTAGACAAGTTTAGGACCCTCTTTAACTTCTTTGGGATGTTTCCTGGCAGGTCAGTTATTTCATGCTGGGTTCTAATGTATTTAAAAGTAGAAGCAAGTCGTGGAATGGAGTAACACCTAAGCATTAGTAGTTAAGTGAGCACAGTGCTCACCTCTCTGAGCCTCAGTGCCTGTATGTGGAAAATGAGGATAAGAGAATTGATCTCTGTTTGAGGACTGAATTAAGAAAATGCTTGTAGTTGACATCACACAGTGTAAGTGGCTTACATGTTAGCTATCATTTTTGTTTGTTTGGGGAAATATGCCTTAGAAAACTGGGTTTGGAATGGACCCTAGAAGTCATGTAGTCAAATAGTTTGTGTCTTATTGAGATGCCTCGATTTCTATTCTTTCTTGTGCTGCCCATCATTGAACTATTTCTCAAATTCCCTTCAATTAAAGGATGTGCAAAAGAGACATAGGAGGATAAGCAGTTGTTTAAAGAAAATGTGTTATATGGAATCACACTGCATGACCTTTCTGTTCTCACCTCAAAAATCTTGAGGCGGGAACAGAAAGGTCATGCAGTGTGATTTACTTACAGTGCTCTTTCTTGAGAACTGTACCCAGCAGGCCTCTGCCTGAAGCACTCCTTAGGGTGCCCATGCCTCAAACCTCAAAGCCCTGCAGTCACTCTGTCTAGTTTTCACCACTGTCTGCATTTTATTCTCTCATTTTTTTCTGTTGTCATTGTCTCCCTCTCTTACCTCTGAACCCCACAAAGGGAGAGACAACATCGGGTTCACTATTCTGTCCTCAGTGCCAGAGCAATGCCTACAACAGAGCATATCTTCAAATATGTATTGAGTGGATGTGAAGCAATAATGTTGAGGAAGTAAAAGAGAAACATGTTTGTCAAAAAGGGTTGAAGGAGGGGCTGTGGCTGTGGCTGTGGCACAGCAGTAGAGCACTCGCCTAGCACGTGCAAGGCCCTAAGTTCCATCCTCAGCACCACATAAAAATAGAGAAATAAATAAATAAAATAAAGATATTAAAAAATATAAGCATAATATATTTAAAAAACAGCCTGTTTTCTCCACTTATGAACTTCACATATGTTTGCACAACAGAGTGGACCACTCAGAATTAAATATAATAATCTTGGCTACAAAATTCTCACCGCTCTTAATCTTTTGATGCTTGGTTCATTATACCTTGCATTTTGGTGATTTCAGAACAACTCTTATCTCCCTAACTGGACAATAAATTCCCTCTATCAGGGTTGCAGGACATCCAGATTTGAATTTCAGATAAACAATAAATAATGTTTAGTAAAGATACATCCCAAAGATTTGCATGGGGTAACATATTCTATATTTTTTATTTGCTCAATCTGGCGGCCCTACCTTCAGAGCATAATCTGGAACTTATTCACCTCTCTACCCTTCTCTTCCCATGTTCAAGCTGGCATGTGTTTTACACACAGTAGGTGCTCAATAAACTCTTGTGCAATGAATAATTGCATGACTACAGACTGAGGGACTTATATTCAGGTTACAACATTTCAGGAGACATACTCCCATTATAGTTTTTTTTCTATAGAAACAAAAGAAAAAATGGAGAATCTGGTCATGTGGTAGCTTCCAATTAATTAATTAGTTAATGTTAAATAAATATATAAAACATTACATTTTCATTAGTTGTAAGCAAACAATTCAATGGCATCAAATACATGAAATACATTCACAACGCTGTGTGACTATCACCACAATCTAGACCTAAAACCTTTCATTATTGCCAAGAAAAATCCTCTATTAAACAATAACTCTTCCTCCTTACCCTCAATCTCTAGAAACTTCTTTTTCTGTGTCTATGAATTTGACTATTCTCAGTGCTTTGTATAAGTGGTATCATATATATTCATTCTTCTATGATTGGCGTATTTCACTAAGCATGTTTTCAAGGTCCATTCATGTTGTTGCATATGTAAAAGGTTCACTCCTTTTGTGGCTAAATATTATTCTGCTATGTGCACATACGTATCTTGTTTATCCATTCAACTACTAATGGGCCCTTGGGTGGTTTCCACCTTCCAGTTACTGTGAATGATGCTGCAGTGAGCGCTGGCATATAAATATCTGTTAGAGCCCCTGTCTTCAATTCTTTGAAATATATACCCAGGAGTAGAACTGCTGGTCATGTGGTAGTTCTATATCTCAACTTCTGTTTTCCACAGTGACTGTACCCCTTCACACTCCCTCTAGCAATGCATGTGTGTTCCAGTTTCTCCACATCCTTTGCCAGGACTTGTTTTTATTTTTTTCTTCTCAAGTTATAGCCATCCTATTGGGTATGGAATGGTATTTCTTTATGGATTTGATTTACTTCAGAGGTATCAATTTTAACTTAGGAAAGAAATGGTTTGTAACTGGCTTAGAAAAATAGTTTTTTAAAAAATATTTTTTGTTGTAGATGGACATGCTACCTTTATTTATTAATTAATTTATTTTTTATGTGGTGCTGAGGATCAAACCCAGTGCCTCATGTATGCTAGGCAAGTGCTCTGCCACTGAGTTTCAGCCCCAGCCCATAGGAAAATACTTTTAGCAGATTTTTCAGTTATAAAGGCAAAGCCCAGAACACAGTCTGCAACAGAAAGTTAAAGACAGCTAAATTATTCCACATTTTTATTGTGTGTAATACTGATTTTTACCTGGTATCTAATAAGAGACATGTGGTGAGGGCCTCGAGAGAGGATGATATCAAAGATGGGAGAAGGCACTGGATTGGGAGGAAGCCAAATCCAGCATCAAGATATCAGGAGGCTCACAGGATGGACAGTCAGTGATACCTGGTATTTGGGTTTCTGTGGCTTCCTATGCTGTTATAATTCCAAATCCATCTTAACCCCAAAAGTTTGGTAAAAGGGGATTATGTACAACACCTTAGATTAAGAGTGCTTTAGGGAGTGAAAGGGGGGGATTGTGTCTGTATCTGGGGTGAGTCACCTTCAGAATGAACTTCAGCCTTAGGAAAGTTGAAGATACCACCAGGAGCCAGGAGAAGATACAGAAGGAGTACTGGGCAACAAGTGACCACCAGGAGAAAGCTCAGGGGTGCTAGAGAAAGCTCCAGACATCTCATCATCACCACAGAGCTGACGCTGTCAGGTTTTGGATGCCCGGGATCTGTTCCCTCTTCCTCCAGCTATAGCTGGTGACCAGTGGGAAAGCACCGCTTCCTCCTAGCCTATGGGGTCCTCATGCCTTTGCTCTGGGGGTGTGCACATGATCTGCACCTGGCCAACCTGCATTTTCCATCCCTCTGACTGCAGCATTGGTTCAGGACAGAACGTGTGACCAAAGTTGGACCCATGAGAGGTATCTCTAGGCCTTTTTCCACAGCTCTTGAGGATTTCTGCCTAAGTTGTTAAGGGCCATCTTTGCTACCCATTAAGCCAATACAGAAGCAAAGAGGTACAAGGGATCGGAAGATAACATGGTACGAAGTCTGATGACACCGAGCATCTAGCCTCACACTCTTGGGCCAGGCATTGAAGTCACATGAGCCAATCAATTTAGTTTTTGCTTTAGCTTATTAGTTGATTTGGGTGGCTCTGATTTTCACCCAAAAAGATCCTGACATGAGAGAGCTGTAAAAACTTGAGTTGAACCATCTCAGCAAAGGAAATTGCTGCTTCAACTATTGTCCTTTTGCTTTGGCTGAAG